ATAACCATAATAAACATCTATGCACCCAATGACAGGGCTCCAAAATACATTAAAAAAAAACTACTCTCAATCTACAGCCTCCTGAAACTTCTTGCTAGGCAAGGATTTAGAAAGAAAAACCAAGCGAGCAACAAATTAAAGACGAAACAGAGAGCCTGAAGATAGTAGAGATATGATATCTTCAACCTCCGTAGAACCTCTAAGATGTAAATGTTTTTATACCAGTTTCAGGGATGAGGAAACAAAGCTTGGAGAGGTGAAGTAACGCAGCCACGACATACATGCCAATGATGTAAAAGAGCTAGTAGGATTTTAACCCAGGTCTGTCTGCATCCAAAGCCCGCGTACTGTTTTCTACTCTGTTCAGCCCTGTGCAATGCATTGATAACTGTTGTTGTTAGCTGCTGTCAAGTCTGTCCCCAATTCGTGGCGACCCCATGCACAACAGAACAAAACACTACCCGGGTTTTCATAGGCTGATTTTTGGAAGTAAATTGCCAGGCCTTTCTTCCTAGTCCATCTTGGTCTGGAAGGTACGCTGAAACCTGTTCGGCATCATAACAATACGAGGAAGATAATTGGTGTTCCTGAAAGGGAACCTATATTTGTGTATACACTCACTCTGTCTTTGTTACGGAAAAGAAGGTAAATGTTAAGTCATGCGTTTATGTGAGCAGATGCAGGCATTTTTATTTTCCTATGAATTCATATTATAGAAAAATCAATAATTAAAAATCAGTTATTTGAAGTAAGTTTGCTAATTAACTTTTTTTCTCCTAAAGGACAATCTTGTGTGGAAGAGAGCATTCCTTGTTTTGGGATTCTCTGTGCTCGCTGTTTTCAGTAGCGTGTATTTTGGTTTCCCTGGGTCAGGAGGACTGTGCACGCTGGTCATGGCCTTCCTTGCAGGCATAGGATGGACAAGCAGAAAGGTGAATCTCATTTTAAGTTCTGTTCACAGCTACTTTCTGAACAGATTATTATTTTTTTCTTTCCAGATGCTGTTTTAACATCAGATAACGTTTTTATCATAAAAGCTATTTGTATTATATAAAAATGTACAGTGCCACACACATACACGAATATCCTTTTTTCTCCTTACGTATCAATTTATTATTTGGTGTCTTTACTTAATATAAGTCATCATTATATTTTCATGATGTCTTCCTTTTTATCTTGTAATGGCTGCAGAGTATTACATTTTATAGCTATATTGTTGTGTGATGTTGCGTTGATTCCGGCTCATAACTAGTCTGTAGGACCCTATAGGACAGAGTGGAACTGCCCCACAGGATTTCCTAGGCTGACAGAAAACTTACCCAATATCATGAAAGATGAAAAGCTGACCATCCAAGGAACAGGAGCCCTGGTGGCACTAGGCTGCTCATTGGAAGTTGATGGTTCGAAACCACCAGCCGCTCCACCCGAGAAAGACCTGGCAATCTGCTTCCATAAAGACTAGCTAGGAGTCAGAATCAACTATGCAGCAACAGCTTTAGGTTTTGGTTTGAATCTTTACGGGAGCAGATCACTACGTGTTTTCTCCCAAGGAGCCACTGATGGCTGCTGACCTTTCGGTTAACAGCCAAGCGCTTAACCATGGCACCACCCGGGCTCGTTACTTAACCAGTCTCCTACTAACGGATAGTTAGGTTGTTTCTAATTTTCTTCTAAGACAAATAGTGCCTTAACAAAATATCCTTACATATACCATATTTCATAAACTGTATCATTTCTAAGAAGCAGCATTATTTTTTTTAATTGTGCTTTAAGTGAAAGTTTACAGTTCAAGTTAGTCTCTTATATAAAAATTTATACACACATTGTTATGTGACCCTAATTGCTTTCCCATACTGTGACAGCACACTCCTCCTTCCACCTCGGATTTCCTGTGTGCATTCAACCAGCTCCTGTCCCTCTCTGCTGTCTCATCTTGTCTCTGGACAGGAGCTGCCGATTTAGTCTCCTGTATCTACTTGGGCTAAGAAGATACACAAGTATCATTTTATGTCTTATAGTCCAGTCTAATCTTTGCCTAAAGAGTTGCTTCGGGAGTGGTTTCAGTTCTGGGCTAACAGAGTCCAGGGGCGATGTCTTCCAGGGTCCTTCCAGTCTCAGTCAGACCATTAAGTCTGGTCTTTTTACTAGAATTTGAGTTCTGTACCCCACTTATCCCCTGCTCCGTCAGGGATTCTCCATTGAGTTCCCTGTCAGGGTGGTCACTGGTGGTAGCCAGGCAACATCTAGTTCTTCTGGTCTCAGGGTGATGGAGTCTCTGGTTTATGTGGATCTTTCTGTCTCTTGGGCTATTATTTTCCTTGTGTCTTTGGTGTTCTTCATTCTTCTTTGCTCCAGGTGGATTGGAACCAGTTGATGCATCTTAGATGGCTGCTTGCTAGCATTTAAGACCCCAGATGCCACTTACCAAAATGGGATGCAAAACATTTTCTTAATGAACTTTGTTATGCCGATTGACCTAGATATCCCCTGAAACCGTGGTCCCCAGACCCCTGCCTCTGCTGCTTTGTCCCTCGAAGTGTTGAGTAGTATTCAGGAAACTTCTTAGCTTTTGGTTTAGTCCTGTTCAGAAGCACCGTAATTTTATGTGCCACCAAGAAGGAAAAAAAATAAAGCTGCCAGTTAAACTATAACATGCCATCTTAATTTCAGAAATGTTAAAAAATGTCTATCTAAGAATTAACAAAATATAGCTTATCTCTGAGTTTATCTGTAGGATAAATTTCTAGAAGTAGAATTACTCTATCAAAGAGTATGCACATTTAAATTTTTGATGGTATCAATTTGCCCTTTCAAAAGGCTGCACTAATTTACATTTCCACCAACAGTATGGGAGAGGATCTCCTGAGTATTTTCAATCTTCAAGTCTTTGTTAATCTGATAGGTGAAAAATGTGTATTATTGTTAATCTGATTTGCATTTCTTTATGAGTGAAGCTAATCATCTTTTCATATTTAACAGCCAGTTTGTTCAAAAGCCTTTGCCCATTTTCAAGAGTTATTTGGGTTTTCCTTATTGATTTTTAAGATCACTAAGATTACTAATTTTCTTAATCTCTGTTATGGAAATTAGCTGGTTGTCATTTATTTTAATTTCCAGATATGTTTTTATAGATTTGACCTTGGCAGGATCATGTGTTATTCTGCTTAGTGAAGAGATTGTAGATGTGGCTGATCTAAATTAAGGGCACATAATATGATTTTAGAATAATCTTATAAAACTTGAAGACAACTGTTCAAAATTAATTAAAATGCCTTATGGAAGAATGTGTGAAGGTCATAAATCTTGAGATCAGGTATAAAATGAGATTCACTTAAATGAATTTCTGTGGAGATCTACTGGAGACAAAATTTCATTGTGGGTAGATAGCATTCAGGTAGAACGCTTTCACTGTATAACGGTGTGATTATAAAATTACAACACGTGATGTTGAATCTTCTCATTTTAGAGGGAGGGATTAGTAGGGGCTGCCTGAAGCATTGTGCTGAGAGGGTATTGAGGCCACAGGAAAGTGGGCTTAGATGGAGTGGGCTTCAAGAGAGAGGGCAGAGCCCCTTTTAGCCCTGCTGTAGGCATTATGAGCACCTAAGCATCCTGCCTTGCCAGGAGGCATAAGTATAAGGCTTATATCGTGTATGTCTCTCTCTCCTCTCTCTTTTGAAGCAGCACCTGTATTAATAAATTCTACTGATTACAAGTGACTTAACATCCAACAAAAGCAAAGGAAAAAGTAAGCCAACTTCCCCGTATAAATTAGGTACTCATCTCTCATAACATTTGTGGTTATCAGAACATTTGTCTTTACATGGATTCACTTTATCTGTGGGCTGAGGCAAGGTTAACAGCCTACCTCTGTCGATCTCAGCTCAAGCCCAAAGGGTGTGCTGCTCCTTGGTACTGTACCTGGCTTCTCTCTGAGGATTCATTGTCTTCCATCCCAGCTACTGACTAAGGCACCCTGCTCTTAGAAGCACCCTGACCTCTCCTTTGCCCCAAGACAAAGATTAAAGTTCCCACTTAGCAAAGGGATGCTGCTGCATTTGCACTGTGACCCCATGGCAACTGGGTTTTGTTGTTGTTTAATAAGTCAGAAAGACTTAAGTAACTTGTCTAAGGTCACAAAATTAGAAAGTGGCGGCATTGGGATTTAAGCTCAGGTTTATCCGACCCCAAAAGAACTTGTACTAGCCTATAATACAACTGTAGCATTGTGCAGGGCACATGTTTATATTTTGACATCTATTTGAGTAACAAATACTAACTGTATAAAAAAGCATTCTAAATCCCAAACTTTGCAATTTAAAATTAAGTCTCTAGCACAATATAACTAATGTAACCAATTTTAATTTTAAAAAAATTAATCTCTAAATTCATAAATGATAGTGTCTTAGTCATCTAGTGCTGCTATAACAGAAATACCACAAGAGGATGGCTTTAACAAAAAGAAATTTATTTTCTCCCAGTCTAGTAGGCTAGAAGTCCAAATTCAGGGCACCAGCTCCAGGGGAACTCTCTCTCTGTCTGCTCACGAGGAAGGTCCTTCTTGTCAGTCTTCCCCTGGACTAGGAGCTTCTCTGTGCAGTCACCCTGGGTCCAAAGGATGCGTTCTGCTCGCAGTGCTTCTTTCTTAGTGGTATGGGGTCCCCACCTTCTGCTTGCTTCCCTTTCCGTTATCTCTTGTAAGATAAAAAGTGGTACAGGCCACACTCCAAGGAAACTCCTTTTACATTGGATCAGGGATGTGATCTTAATAAGGGTGTTACAATCCCAACTCTCTTTATCATAAAATTACAATCACAAAACGGAGGACAACCCACAATACTGAGAATCATGGCCTAACCAAGTTGACACCTATTTTGGGGGGACATAATTCAATCCATGACAGATACGATTAAGAAAATAAACAATGAGAAAGAGCCATAACATTTGGAATAGACCATAAAAGAGTAGTTTCAGCAACGTGGAATCAAAGGGGAGACTTATGCCAACTGCAAGTGGCCATTGACTACGGGCACAGAAAGAAAAAGGAAAAGGGGAAATTTGATCAGTTTCAATTACATTTTTCTTCAGAAAAACAATAATATGAGTTGTATAGAAAATATAAACCAAAACATAGGTTCATTTGTCTACGTTTGTCATAACTTATCTAAATTGCCTGCAGTCCAGCTGATTACATGGGAAGAATCAATGTAATCCCACAGTCCAGAGAGAAAATCATTATTAAGGTATGTTTCATATTTACCTCTGGTGATAAATATATACATATATATATGCACATACATATAGATAGATAGGTAGATATACACACACACACGTACAAATGTACCATAATTTTTTTAACCATTCCCATATACCTATATTTCAGGTTATTTCCAGTCTCTTCTATTTAAAATAATGCTGAAATCCAATATTTTATTATTTCCTGTTAGGGAATATTCCTAACAGTGTAATTTTGTAGCCAAATAATGTGAACATTTTGAGGCTTTTGATACATTATTTTCTAGTGTATATGAAGTAAACATCTCATCACAAACTCTCATCAGCTTAAAATAATGCTTATCAAACTTTAACGTGCATCGGAAATACCTGGAAGCCTTGTTAAACTAGATTTCTGGGCCTCATCCCCCGTTATCTGATTTGGTAGGTCTAAGGTGGGGCCTGAGAATCCGCACTTCTAACAGGTTTCAGGTGATGTGATGCTACTCCTCTGGCGACCACACTTTGTGAGCCACTGGTTTAGGATATTATTGCTTTTAATTTTTAGCCATACTGATAGGTGAGAAATGGTATCCTGCTTTCCTTTATGCATCTTTAACAGTGAGATTAAACACTTTTTGTTTTTAGCCATCTGAATTTTTCTTTGATAGATCTTGTGTCCATTATCTTTTGATTTAACATATTGACTACTGATTCG